GGGGTAAGACGGACCAGCTAAGGTTTGAGGCCGCATATCTTGCTACACTGCTCTCGTAATTCATATTATTTATAGTCTTCGGAATGCTCAATCCTTCCTCTGTTGATATGTGTAATGACTAAATTTCAAATTAAAGACATCTAGGTGGTGGATGCTCTTAAAGAGGGACATGTCAAAAACTCAGACAAGAAAAATCGTGGGGTAAGACGGACCACCCAGCAGTGCCTGCTATCCGTTCATGTGTGTTACACTTCTGCTCTGTACTCTTGTAAGAAAAAGTAACCAGAATGGTAAAAAAACAAATTGAGCCTTTATTCTTTACTCATGTGTGATGAAAGTGCAGCTAAAAGCTGGGAACATGTGTGTTGATTGTCGTTTGGCATGAATGCATGCTAACTGAGCACTTGCATGCATGGCTCACATGCAACAAAGACTCCTTCCTGAAAAATAAGCTTACTTAAACTTGTGTCAATGTTTTGGAAAAGAACGTTCCATATGCAGGGTACAATGGACCACCACAGGGTAAGATGGACCACAGTGGTCCGTCTTGCCCCAAATCTATATTCTATCATTATCATGACGTATATGTCAAATAGTCCAACATTGCAAAACCTTGCCTTTCCTAAAGTGTGACTATAACTAAGTTTATAACTTTGTTCTTCACAGTAAAGTGCAAAATAGAAACTAATCATGCAAGAAAGGCACCGTAATTGAATCACCCGTAGACCTCTTATATTAGATCGTTTTGACGAAAAACAACATTTTTCTCAATAACTCAAAAGCTATGCCTCCTAGCAGCATCAGCTCAAGGTGGCCATTGTTACGAAGGAAAACAAACATAGTGAGTGCATAAAGCAATAGATACCAGCAGCGGTTCAGCCGGGAGGGCTGGTGGTCCGTCTTGCCCCGCTGGGCCGTCTTACCCCACCTTCCCCTACATATTTGTACATATTTATAACATTGTACATATTTGTGATTTATCTACTGAGGACTGTTCCAGCGTGCCTTAGCATCACACCGTGTGATCCGTTGGTGGATCCTATTCACATTAGCTCGGCCATACGATTTGTGACAATATGCTATCTTCGGGCAATGCTGTTAAAAAGGGGCCCATTACTTGGTTATTGTGGTCAATATTGTACGATCATTTCTAAGTATCTTCACAATTTCGTCGCATTCTGCGCAGTGCCTCAGAATCGAGATGTTTCGCATTACATAACTGAGATGGAATGCACACCGTGGCTCTCCCAAGTCCCAACCCTCTCAAAGAAACTGAACGGAGCTGTATGCCGGAATGCGGGGTTTTCATGCGGCTTTCATTACACTTGTATCCTTCCAACGATCATTGCGTGTTGGTGACTCAGCCTGCAGTTACCTGTGATAGCGAGTTCGAGGCTACTTGCCTCCTGTCAGAGGCCGGGGTGGGCGGCACGGGAAAGGCCTTGGGCGGCGCTCTTCTCAGGAAGACTGGGCGGCCGCCGGCGTCGCTCCGCTGTGGGGCCGGGCCGGCGGGGGAGGAGCGTCGGGCACCACTAGAGCCGGCGCCGGCGCCGCGGCTTCAGTCGCCAGTCGCCTCTGCTGCCGAGATGCGGTGCGTCGTGTCGGTGTGTCTGCTGCTGCTGGGCGTGGCCCTGGTGGGCGCCGCCCCCAGCCTGCTGCCCGGAGACCCCAACTACTCGGAGCACGACCACGGCCAGCACGGAGAGCACGCACATGGAGAGCACGCGCACGGAGAGCACGCGCACGACGGACACGCGCACGGAGAACACGCGCACGACGGACACGCGCATGATGGACAGGCGCACCCGGAACATCACGCGCACGACGGACAGGCCCACCCGAAGCATCACACGCATGAAGGACAAGCTCACGATGGACAAGCCCATGCCGGTCAAGCTCACTCAGGACAAGCCCACGACGGACAAGCTCACCCTGAGGGACAAGCACACGCAGGACAGGCTCACCCTGAGGGGCAGGCTCACGCGGGGAAGGCTCATCCAGGACAAGCCCATGATGGACAAGCTCACCCAGGACAAGCTCACCCTGAGGGGCAAGCACAGGATGGTTTCCCTGCCTTCCCTGGCCAGGCCTTCCCCGGTCAAGCCTTCCCGGGCCAGGCTTTCCCAGGTCAGGCGTTTGCTGGTCAGGCGTTCCCTGGCCAGGAGTTCCCTGGTCAGAACCCTGGTCAGGTAGCCGCTGACGTGGCCGCCCCTGCACCTGTCGTCCCCGCGCCGGCCGCTTCAGTACCGGTGGCTTCAGCTCCCGTCGCTCCCGCGCCGGGTTCGTCTCTGTCGCAGGGCATCCCTGACCTCCCTACGACCTACGCCACAGGCGCCGCCAGCGCCGACTCCACTCAGGTATCGTCTGGCGGCTCACCGGCTCCGGTGCAGCAGACGCGGCCCTCCAACCCGTTCCTGTCGGGCTCCCTCGCCCTGCCGCCGTCCAGCTCGTTCCAGGTGGCCGTGAAGCCGGTGCCGCCGCCGGCGCAACGACCCACGCCCGAGCCCATCAAGGAGCTCAACACGAACCCGCTCGGCGGCCCGGCCGGCCCCAAGGGTCCGGTGCGCGCCAGCTGCCCGGGCCCGGCCAGCGCGCTGCCTTGTGTGCCTGACGAGCAGTGCGACCCGTACACGGGCTTCCTGAAGTCGGACGGCGTGAAGCTGCCCTACCCTATCACCAAGGACACCCCGACCGTGGCCATCGGCCAGTGCAAGCTGGGAGCTGGAGTCGGCGTGTGCTGTAAGAAGTTCCCCCGGCCGGCACCGACCACCACCACCACGGCTGTGCCGCTGGGCGTGGACTACGGGCAGGGCCTGGAGCACCTGAAGAAGCCGACCACCGAGAGGCCGCCCAACCCCTTCCTGCCTGACTACAAACCGACCTACTGAGTAGAGTAGGAGATGAACAGGGTCGCCGGGGAAGGGGGAGGTGGAGGAGAGGTAGATGGGGAAGAGATAGGAAGCTCGGTAGGTGGGAGGAAGGGGAGAGAGCGACGGGAGCGTTGGAGAGAGGGTGAGAGATGAATAGAGAATCGGAGAGGGGAGTCGGTAGGTGTGGCCGTAGCCTTGACCTTCGCTACCTACCTAAAGCCGAGGTCGAGCACGCCAAATTATGCTGAGTCAGAGCAGGGTGCGTTGTTTCACTTCCTGGGTCTTCGATCTTCCGTGCAGCTGGCACAGTAGCTGCTGGCATGTGTTGTTCCGTCCATTCCCTAACCGTTGTGGTTTTGTTCTTCGTTGTTCGTGATTGAGCGGCTTGGTATTTAGATGGCTTGTCTGATCCATCATAGGTAATGTTGTCTTTGCAAGCGTAGTGTGTGTCTGAAGGGCATTGGACAATGTGATAAAAATAAATAAAACCTTTATTTACTTACAAATGTGTAAAAGTACTTTATCTTCAAATAATCTCATTCGAGAAAAGAAAACCACTTTTCACATACAGGCTTGATCGATTCTTATTTATTCACTCAATGAGCAACAAGCTTAGATATCGCCAGCTGCTTTTCGTATTTGTCGAAAGAAGCAGTTATTAACGAATGCAGGTATATGAATTAAAAGCTTACAAGAAATAAGCCAAACAATATCGATGGGCTGCACGACATTGTGATATTTAAACGCCTCTCACCCGGGTTTTTAAAACAACTTGGTTTTGACTGTCTCCGGCGAAGAAAAAAAATGCGTTGCGCTCCGCAGTTGGTCGGCCGGTCTAGTAACGTCCATACCTCCGGGATGCACAACGATCGGTCAATTTCAAAACTATCAAAACTGGCTGAAATTTAACCAACAGCATGATGCTTTAGCAAATGATTAAAAAGTGTATTGTGACGACCTTAATTAAAAGTAATTTTGATGGAAATCAGATGGATTAGTAACCTTTTGCTCATAACTAATGTAAGCCAAAAACAAATCCATTCAATCCATCCATCCATCAATCCATCCATCCATTGGATTTGTTTTTGGCTTACATTAGTTATGAGCAAAAGGTTACTAATCCATCTGATTTCCATTATAATCATAATCATGCTCAAAAAAACGTTTCACACCATTCAATCAAAAGTAATTTTGCAATAAGTTTGCACCTTTTATGATACTGCCCTTTGGGTTGGCGCTTTGCCCTCCAAGCGGGTCGTTATTGTCGTGCTGAAAACAGTTCCACCCCTGCACATCCGTGTCACGGGGTTCGCAGCCCTCTCAGTCCGCTAAGCTCAGCTCCATGCTCGGAAGCCACGGCCCGTTCACCTTGGCCCTCTGTCAGTTCTGTCCGCGTGACGTCATAGCGTGATGTATTCGCTGAGCTTCACTAAGCCAGGACGTGATCAAATTACGTCACCAATCCGTGCTAGGTCCGAGAATCATGTAGTTTTTACCGGGGAATATTTGTTTACGTAGGGGCTATGGTTGATGCCAGTTTTGAGTTTTGACTTTATACGTTGAGTCGTCTTTCCTACTGATGGAAGGGATACCTATACTTAACCTTCTTCACCGTTACTACATGGATGCATACCTAAATTTACATGTGCAACCGCTGCTTTATTTAACTTCATCGTCTCGGCACAAAGTCCCCCTTCACCTCCGTCCGTCGGATGTCGGCCTTCCCGATCCCGTGCCTCCCAGCCACGGAGCTGTCCGGTATAATCGACAGCACGATCGGCGGCTCGGCGGGCTTCCCAGAACCAGACACATCCCCCCATGTGACGTCATCCACCCCCTCCCGGACCTGGCCGTGACCGCCTCTTGGTAGAATACCCGCTCGCCACACTGGTAAAGGAAAATGTACCTACTTACGGCTGCAGAGGCGCCGAGATGAATACGGGTGGTACTTTCATGGGTGGGTTCAGGAGGACTTGTAAATGATAGCGTAGCTTATGATTTGCCAGCCATCCCATACTTCAATGGCTGCCAATGAAGTAAAACACCCACCTTATTCTTCCCAATTATTTCCGCAAAATACTTGAATCTTATCCCGCCTTTCGAAGCGCCACACAAGAAGTAGTCGTCGTATATACGTCACATGTATATTAGCAGTGCGATACGCGCGGGCCTTGTCCGACCAGCAGGCGGTAGCCAGCGCGTCTCTGGAGGAGCGGGCTCTCGGACCGCGGTCCACTGTGGTCCGAGGACCGGCCGCAGACCACCGACAGGACCGCAGGACCGCGGTACGGACCACAGGACCGGTCGGCGGGGCTCGATAACCGGTCGCCGGCGTTGCAGCGCCCAGTTTGTACGTGTCCGCTCGGAGCTCTGAACGGACAACCAGAAGTACGACAGTCGACATCGATAGGCAAAAACATCGATATATAACAAACGTGGACATCGATAGAAACCGGTCGGCGATGGCCGGCGGTACGCTCACGGCGATCTGCCGCTCGGTTAGCGCGGCCCGCCCGCCGCGGTGAATACTGTAGACCACCGCGAGCGGTCGAAAGCGCCACAAGCGTCGCTGGCTGCGATATGACCGGAGACCGGCACGACACTGGCCCGACCAGCGAGTTAATAGAGCGCTAAACGCAACGGACAGTATGGAGATGCCAAATCATGATACAGAAACTGGCGCAGATATCGTAAGGGCGCGTTCTGCCCCGCACCAATGAATACCATCGAGATTCTCGCGTTCTGAATGAGTTCGTTGTAAGAGATTCTCACTCCGAGGCGAGTTTTGAGGCATGCCTCCAATCTGGAACATCGACATCGTATGACCAGAACACCTGAGTTTAGAGGTCCTCTACGGGCTCTATCGGACGAGGCGCGAACAGAACACAGGAGCATACACGCAGACTTGTTACATGCCGAGTCGCGGCTCGGGCTCGAGCACAAAGCGCAAATAACAGTTGTCACCCCAGGAAGAGTATAGCGATTCGCTCGCCGAGAGCGAGCGATGAGGGTTCATGTTACCCTGTGGGCGGCCGGCGGGCTGGCCTCGTCACTCTCCCGCCGTCCGCGATGGCACGTCACACATCCCGCACACCGAGCGCGCTGGCGCAGCGTCTTCAGGCAATATCAACTCTCGTTAGCGGGTCGAGTCCACGCACGGCTGAGGCGACTCGACCGCCCCTGGCGGCCGCCGCGCGCACTAGCGGTTGGCGCCGGCGCCGCGGCGGGCGCTGTGGTCTCACTGCCGGCAGCTGAGGTGGACGCGGCACCGGACCGCGGCCTCAGGCGGTTTGAGAACCACTTGGAGACACCACTAACGAGAGTTCGCACTAATCATAGCTTCGAGTCTTGGTCCTGAAACAGACGCGGCAACGTCAGGTTTCCGAAACAATCTTAACAAAAAAGTTTGTTTGTAAGGATGGTCCGAAAAAGCAAAATCATTTCCTTGCACAATACTCTATGATCTGTAGCTTAAATCCCATACCAAAGCCTCAGTTCCCTCACCCGTCCGTCGTTTCCATCCTCAGGATGTTCAAATCCTTCTCCACGCCGCAACCCCCCTCCGGGCTGGACAGACAACTTTATCTCACGCGGGCTGCTCCCTTGGAGCGGCACCGCTGCTCCCCCCGAGGGAGCGCACCCCGTAGCCATGTGCAGAGCACTTGGGGGCTGGTCGGCCTGTCCTTTCGGACGGCTCAGCCCCGGTGACTCTAGGGTGCCTGCCCAAACCAATGTCTCCCCTTAATTCCTATCATCCTGAAATTCTTCTGTACGTAATGGTCTTGCCATACAGAAAGGGCGTAACCCAACAAAACAAGCAAGACAAACAAAACCCAGTTCCATATCGTGTAGTGCTTTTGCAAGGAGCATTGATAATACTATAAATTAACTTTGAAGCGACCTTCTCCTTGATATTATGTCAAAAATGAAAGAATTATTTACATGTGCATTCGGGCACAGCCCATCATCAGATGTATATTTGAAAAGACAGCATATACATCGTCACAAAAACAAGAATCGACATTTCAAATTCAGCTCGTGAAAATGACACATCAGTATCCTTCGCGCCGTATGGTACCTATCTATATAAAACACACCTATAAACACACACACAAGCACAATTTTGGGGCACATACATACGATAAACTTGTTCTCACATGATACGCCACGAGGACAGATTTTCGTTCAGCCCAGGTTTTCTTTCCCTTATGTACAGTGATTCAGTAATTTTCCTATCCGGATGGTCCCTAGTTTTCTTCAAAATCCTAACCTTTCCTTAATCCTAACCTTCCAAAATCCTTCCAAAATCCTAACCTTAAAGCTGGCTGACCCGCCACTGGAGGTTAGGATTTTGAAGAAAACTAGGGACCATCCGGATAGGAAAATTACTGAATCACTGTACATAAGGGAAAGAAAACCTGGGCTGAACGAAAATCTGTCCTCGTGGCGTATCATGTGAGAACAAGTTTATCGTATGTATGTGCCCCAAAATTGTGCTTGTGTGTGTGTTTATAGGTGTGTTTTATATAGATAGGTACCATACGGCGCGAAGGATACTGATGTGTCATTTTCACGAGCTGAATTTGAAATGTCGATTCTTGTTTTTGTGACGATGTATATGCTGTCTTTTCAAATATACATCTGATGATGGGCTGTGCCCGAATGCACATGTAAATAATTCTTTCATTTTTGACATAATATCAAGGAGAAGGTCACTTCAAAGTTAATTTATAGTAAAACCCAGTTCCCTAGTCTCTCCCCCCACTCACATAGCTAAACCGGCGGGAGCCAGGCGAGGGGGAGCGCTCCTCAGTGATAGTCTCCATTTCATCGGCCGTCTCCTCGTGGAGCGAGCTCTCCGAGCCGTCATCCTCGAGCCGTGCCTCCGAGGGGCCGCCGGAGGGCGCCGCTGACACTGACACTGACACCGACACTGACACATCGCGCGCCGACTGCTCCTCCTGCGGGCGGTGAGCCGGAGGGGTGGAACTGTCAGAGCAGGGACGGGCGGGACCGTCAGTCCGGGGACAGCCTGAGGGCAGGCGGGACTGTCAGACTGAGGACAGGCTGGGCTGTCAGACGGGGACACACGGGGCTTCAGAAGACGGGGCCAGTCGGGACTGTTAGACGGGACCAGGCGTCGCTTTTAATTTGGTGATAGTGAGAGCAGAGATGCAGCGGATGAGATGGTAAATCACAGGTCATGCATCGTGCACTCGAAATGAAACCATACGATAGCACTGAAGTGAGATATTCCTGAGCTGGAAGCTACTTCGACTATACATCTAAACTCTGAGGAGCACATCGATCCAAGTAAAGCAACTAAATGACGCACGTTTCTTCTAAAAAAACATATTTTCTACTCCATTAAAATTTACAACGCTGAGTATCTGACACTTGAATCCTAGCACAACTCCATGACCATAGCTATGCCGACGGGCGCCGATATTTTGGCCCTGCTGAGCCCATCTGTCATCTGTTATCTGAGGCCGGCGCCGCCGGCGTCAGGAGCTATGCGGCCCTCGTACCCGTATAACGTCCGTCCAGCGGGCGTGGTTGGCCATCAGGTGCTCCGTCTGAATGCAGAACACGTTCCTCCGGCGCGGAGGTTTCTCTTCGTCATCGTCAGAGTCGGACGGACATGAGCTGCTGTCGGGCGACTCCTCTGTGGAGGGTTATACTGAGTCAAGCGGAGTCAGAGTCCGGACAGAGTTAGCGTAGGGCGACTCCTCTGGGGAAGAGTCATATTGAGTTAGAAACTGGGTCAGTAGGACCAACGCAAGATGGTGCACGGTGACTCCCCCGATAAAGAGTCGAGACATGCGACCAGGTCCAAAGACCAGGATTAATTTCATTGATGGACGAGTACGTGTTGTGGCCAACGTGTCATGCAGGCCATCCCATCACAAGCTACATTCAGCCTCAAGTCTCACTGTTAAAGGGACTATCCCACCTTTAACATGGGGTTTGAGTTGAGATAGCCAAGTTTGCGGCGAGGTTCAGAAACCACTATCTATCTAGGTTGCAACCCCCGCGGCCTCTTGGTGTTGAAGAAATTCGTTCCCTTCATTTGAAAATGGGCCTTGTACAAGGCCCTATCTTCAACATGGAGCGACCGTTAGTGTGACGTCACCTCGTTTAGTCATTCTGATTTAAATGGGTTTGTTCGTTGAAAAATCGCTTAAAACTTGGTCTGAACTTTGTTGTGGTGCCTACAGAGTAAAAAGAATCAGCTTTATGACAGTAATGTGGCCTGGGGAAGGAGGTAATTTTGGGCTGTGACGTCACATATTTGAAAGTTTGTATTTGGAATATGGGAAGCCTAAGATGTTTAATGAAAAATAAATGCCAGAACCGTGTTCCTGGTCATCCAATCTATAAAGTCGGGCACAATTTAACTGGTTTTAACAACATTTTAGAAGGTGGGATAGTCCCTTTAAGTCACGTCACGGTCACCCAGACCCAGCTATGAAATTAGGATGACCTTTGGCTGTCCTTTCACCCAAGAGATGAAGACATCGCCCTGCCCTCCCAGTGGCGTTCAGTCAGCATCGACAGTAGTTTCCTGTAGCCAGGGATGATGCAAGCGATCGGCTTTGATCCATGGGATATTCTCAGAATTGAAATGTCATCAAAATATTTTCATCAGCGAAAGCGCTGAAGCGTATAAACGAGCAAATACAAAGACAAGGTGACCGCCAACAACTCGTGACCTGCCTCCAGCAGCCCAAATATCATTGATCATATTTCACGTAAAAGTCTGATCTTACACCACAGCCATATCCATTACACACATGGGCTATTATGTCGTAACTCCATTTTCACTAGACAAAAGACGCGCCGCACCGCGTTATATAATAACTGAAAATAAGCCCAGGAAGCACACTTGACGTCATAGCAACACCACCAATCAGTGTCGAGCTGCCCAAGCCCTGACATAAGCAGAAATGACGTTATAGGAACGTGACCAATCATCGCCAAGCTTCCCTGACCCTTCCCCAATCATTGTGCGTATATTCTCCACTCACTGACCGTTTTCCACCCAGATTCCTGGCATCAGGCCGGACTCGTAGTAGGCGTTGCACATGGGGCCGACTAGGTGGTTGATGAAGGACTCCTGCAGCTTGGCCAGCTGCGGGTTCTTCCGGTCCATGTAGGGCGATACGGGCAGGCCCAGCGCCAGCTCCTCGTCGCCTGGTGGCCGCAGAGAGGGTCGTTAAAGTGACACGGAAGTAGGGTTTGATACAAAGTTACAAAGATATTCTGTATCTGACACTGATGTGATGTATTTGATGCTGACACAGAACCTGACACGTTAGCGGGACATGACACAGTAGGTCAGACACTGACACTGGATCTGGGTCTATACTGGCGTGAGATTAGGTTGGGGACTGACACAGGAACTTAGAAACAGCCGAGGAGAAGTCGAAGTCTGTCACCAACCGGAGCTGAACCTAACGGCTAACACATATTGATAGTTCGGTATGTGGGCAAACTCAATGCAGTGAGCCGTGAGGAAGGCCGATTGCCATAGGTAAAGCCCTGCAGAAAAGCCATAAACATTATAAATGAAACAATATAAAAAAGAAAGAAATGAAGCGTGATTCTCAGACAATAATAATATCCAGCACTGAACAAAAACCTGCCGTCATGGATGCAATATCGCGCTTCCGTCCGCTACTGTGCGCCTGAGCGGAGCGGCGACTCATCACCGACTAACCCTGTTCATAAAACTCCTCTGCGATGCGCTGCGTCCACTGGTAGTGCAGCGGGAAGTCCTTGCACGGGCCGTTGATGTCGGCCAGCTTGATGGCCATCTCCATTACGAGCAGGCGGTCCGTCTCCGAGCGCCAGTCGGTACCTTCCGAGTTCTGGAACTGAGACACACACCCCAGTGACGTCAGAAATACCAGTCTCCGAGCGCCAGTCGGTGCCCTCCGAGTTCTGAAACTGAGACACACACCCCAGTGACGTCAGAGATACCAGTCTCCGAGCGCCAGTCGGTGCCCTCTGAGTTCTGGAACTGAGACGCACACCCCAGTGACGTCAGAGATACCAGTCTCCGAGCGCCAGTCGGTACCTTCCGAGTTCTGGAACTGAGACACACACCCCAGTGACGTCAGAAATACCAGTCTCCGAGCGCCAGTCGGTGCCCTCCGAGTTCTGAAACTGAGACACACACCCCAGTGACGTCAGAAATATGTCCGTCTCCGAGCGCCAGTCGGTGCCCTCCGAGTTCTGAAACTGAGACACACACCCCAGTGACGTCAGAAATATGGCCGTCTCCGAGCGCCAGTCGGTGCCCTCCGAGTTCTGAAACTGAGACACACACCCCAGTGACGTCAGAAATATGGCCGTCTCCGAGCGCCAGTCGGTGCCCTCCGAGTTCTGAAACTGAGACACACACCCCAGTGACGTCAGAGATACCAGTCTCCGAGCGCCAGTCGGTGCCCTCTGAGTTCTGGAACTGAGACGCACACCCCAGTGACGTCAGAGATACCAGTCTCCGAGCGACAGTCGGTGCCCTCCGAGTTCTGGAACTGAGACACACACCCCAGTGACGTCAGAGATATGTTCGTCTCCGAGCGCCAGTCGGTACCTTCCGAGTTCTGGAACTGAGACACACACCCCAGTGACGTCAGAGATATGTCCGCACCCAATGGCGTCAGAGATATAGCCGTCTCCGAGCGCCAGTCGGTGCCCTCCGAGTTCTGGAACTGAGACACACACCCCGGTGACGTCAGAGTTATGTCCGTCTCCGAGCGCCAGCCGGTGCCCTCCCGAGTTCTGAAACTGAGGCACAGACACTTGGTTAGGTAGCCTCAGAGGTTACAGAGGTAGCCTCAGAGGTTAGGTAGCCTCAGGTAGAGAGGTTATATAGCTTTGGACACCAGTCACGTCAGTGGGGAAAGATAAGTTGTGAAATGGAGACATTTTCGTGCATTCGTATATGAACAACGAACATAACAACATGGAAATACGCTTATCAAGGTTACCATGCGTGATTTGAGATATTTAGTTAAGCTTTGACATAATGGGTTTGTCTGCATGTGGCAGACATGTATCGTCCACTGGCTGGAAGCTGACATGGTACAATTTACGTTTACTTTGCTGATTTTAAAATGGTGCGAGAATGAACAATCATTTCGGACATTTTACAAATTGAAGTTGTGCGGAACTTAAACGTATCCACCGCCTGGGTGATTACAAGGTTAATATTTTAGTCGCGAGTTCATTTCCCATCACTGGTAGGTCAGGCGTGTTGTATATTTGATTTCACGAGAACCCACCAGTCCCTCGCCACTACTGCCTCGTCACAAAGGCTTGGCCCCGGCGGGGTTACAGCACTCCGACAAACTGATTACGGCCGTACGGACGCGATCAATCGCTCATCTGTTCGCAGAACGAACCCAATCAAAACTGAGGGCAGCCGGTAAAAGTGATCAATGGGGGGCCTGCTTAGCGTCGCGCGGCGCAATGCTGCACGACTTCTGGGAACGCTCGCTGGTCCCAGCTGGGGGTCAGTGAACGGCGAGTCTTTTGACCATAGCAGTAATGCCGGGGTGGTCTTTGCAGGAAAAGAAAACATCAATTGATATTAACGATGTTTGCATTTGGCATTCACTATTCAGCCTCGGGATAAGTTGGTTTTACTGGACGGTAGCGGCGGCCAAATAACCCACTAAAAAGCAACAGGTAAAGTCGATAGTAACACCTGTGGTTTGAGCAACCGCAGCAGATGCAGCTCGAAGTCATTCTACTCACACCACCAGTAGGGTGGGGTGATGCAAGCTCCCGAAACACAACAAACACAATTTATGCACGCCGTTGGCTAATGTTGTCCCTAAACAACATAACCCATCCACAAAAACACATAAATCCACTCACTGAAAACACCTGCTTACTGTCGTACGGCAAAGCAAACAGACCAGACACACTGCGGCTTACCTTGGAGGTAAACTCTGCCAGGATCTCAAAGTGCCGCTTCAGGTCCGTCGCCAGGATGGCCTCGATGACCAGGAAGCGGAAGCGCTTGAACTCGGACCTCTCCAGATGGCAGAGGAAGTTGTGCTCGGCGCGAGACAGGAACAGGCTCCAGGCGGCGGCCGCGTGGTGGTTCTCCAGCACCGACCGGTCGTTATACAGCACCGCCTGCCGCCCGACAGAAGACACACAGTTACAAACGCACGAGACACATCAACATGCATGGCACAACTACACGAGACGAACAGAAGTTACGTACGCAACATGTCGCAGAACCAACGCAGAACGGGAAAATACACACACGACTAAGTGAAACTGTCTAGCCTTTCATCCTACCAAACTTGAGAGTTATGTGGAGCTATGTCAGTTTTCGCAGGTAGTTTGGCTGACTTTCAGCAATGACGCGCGTCAAGGGGCGTGCCTCACAGATGACCGAACTGGACCAACTCGGCTGTGGAGTGACGCCGCGTAGCGAACCCGTGATGGATGGGACGGTATGACGCTACAGGCGAGCACGGCCTGTTGACAGCTCCTTACTACGGAGCGCGGCGTAGTTTTTACCGTCGGCGCTACGTCGCTCGAGAAACGAGCGTGGTTTTAAGTGACCTGACGTCAATAGGCGCAGGTTCAGAGTGAAGTCACAAACACAGAAGCAGTGTGTTTGTAATGGATTTCGTCGCATTTCGGTCTCGCCCATTGCTCTGTGCGTTCCTTTCAAACAAACAACTGAACAGTCGAGAGAGACTGAGAGAAACAGAACTTCGGTAACAAACAAACAACGATGCCGGCTGCGCCTATCGACTGCGCTGTGCCAAGTGCGACTCTCGTCTGGAGGGGAGCACCCGTCAGGTCGAAGAACTAGTCTGTTGCCTACAGTTGACTGAAGACTGACTGTCGATTATAATAGCTGTCGGCGTGATGCGTGACCAGACACCATTTGTCACCGTCGCCATTTGATGTGTCGTCGAACAAACCATGAACCATGGAATTGGACATCACAGTTGGCAGGAGGATGTATCGTCCATAAACCTATGATGTCAGGCGCCATCGACGAGTGAGTTTGACATTTGTATAACATCCTAACTCACACCGATCATGATACTCATTTAAGTATCATCAATTAACAAGATGTTGATGAAGTTACGCAAGTCTAGGGCAACGATTGGTTTGCTGCGCCAATTCTGATGTTAAACGGTTGAGCGTCCTCTCGTCCGACATACTGTAATAACCCTCACATAATATCTGACTTGACCCTGACCTCGCCCGCCATGAAACCTGCCCTCATCCTGGCCTGCGCTGACCTGCGGCGCTATCGTCGTGACGAGGAAGGCGTTGGTCCTGCCCGGGTGATCGAAGTCGTGCATGGCCGCAGCGGTGTAGAGTGCCATTAGTTCCAGTGCGGGGAAGTTGGCGCCCATCACTCCATACGACTCCTCGGCAGCGAACGTCTGCCGCTGTCCGAGGCCGGGACTGCTACACGTCTCATCCTCTGGGGGACAAATACAGACACGTCAGTTAGGGATATGCCCTCGCTCTCATACATACCATACAGGCGGACACACACCTGCACCCGTCTGCCGCTGTCCGAGGCTGGGACTATACTGCACATCTCGTCCTTTGGGATACTAGTCCTCCAGACCAGACAGGTGCCCAGAAGACAGACGTAACCTTCAAATAGGACAACAGGAAGAGAACTTTGTCTTTGGTAATAATGACCATGTCAGGCAGAGCTACACTGATACGAGCAGACGGACAACTTAACGACAGACCCGCCAGAGTATCAGACGGGCTGGCAGACAGGCCCATACGACATGTGCAATTGTTCACTCTGCGACAGGGAACGACCGGCCGGGACTGCCTCACGATACGACTTGTGATGGGCTCAGTCAGATACGTCAGTCACGTCAGCTTTCCAGCCATTAAATCGCAAAAATCGCATCTCAAAGTGCCGTGTTCAGCCTTGTATGGCTCTGCTCAGAGATTGAGGATTTTATTGTCTTAGTCGGAATTCACATTAGAACGGATTGGGTGGGTTGGTTGCCATGAGTTGACGAGCAGCAGTAACATTGCTTTTGACTGGGTGAAAAGACCTTGTCCTATCGCAGGAAGACATACCTACCGAGCTGAGGAAATTGAAGGCACTCAGAAACAAGGGAAGCGTATGCGGAAAGGCATGGACGCTTATCGTCACGCTTGATTGGGCAATTTAGCTTTAACTAAAGACATTAGTTTTGCTTTCAAATAAAACAGCATCCGATTAACTGTCTCCTCAATGCAGTCAAGGTTTAATCGTCCGTTGAAATTCGGGGCCGCCACTCACTCTCTGGCTCCATGTCGTCCTCTGGCAGCACTTGGAAGCCCGGGATCGGCTGCGACGTCAGGTAGTACACTGCCTGAAGCACGTCGGTCGCGTGCATACGATTATGGTCTGAAAGAAAATCGAACACTGGTCAAACAGTCTGGATACTAATTCAGCGGCAAAGCGGCCGATCAGCGAGGCTTTTTAGGCCTTCCCTGACCAGCCCGAGCTCGATGATTAATCTTCATCATTTTCCATTCTTTCCCAGACTATTTGCCTCTTCAGTGAATCCATTAGAGGCCACTCAACATGTATCAGCGTAAACGTTCGTCGCCGTTCGGCGGGTACACCGGAACGACGCTGAACATCACATCTCGAGACAGCTTCCCACGACACATGCTGTGCCGATCTGCAATCTCCCGCGGGGCCGACACAACTCAGAAATACGTTCGTGCTCGAGAGTGCTCGGAGTGCTCGAACACAGCGGGCGTGCCGTGTAACTTACAGGGCTTATCTCGGTATCCCATTTCCAGGGCATGGAAGTAGTTGAAGAACTCCTGAAGAGGAATTCGGAACGTTTCTAGGAGGCCGGTGTCGTGGAAAACCCGGTAGCACACCTGTGGACGGGAGTGGCGGCGGTAAAACGGTGTTAGAGCGGTAACGGTCACACCGGTATCGCGCCTGGAAGTGTGGACTTTTGTGCGCTGTGAGAATCGTCAGGTATTTTGGTCGACTTAACGCTGTAATGGGCTTTAGTCCAGAAATGCACCGCCTGCTTTTTTAACTTGTCATTTATCCAATGCATGTTACGAGGATAGGGTGCTTCTCTTTACTCAGAATTCAACAGATATTTTACGTCCTTCTGGCAGCTTAGGCCGACTCATTCACTTCACCGGCTTCTTCTGTTCCCATCTGCTAATGCCTTTGCACGTCTCCCAGTTTCCAAACCCCCGAGTGACCGGTCACAACACACTGCGGCGCGGGGCCGTTCCGCGATCGTCTCCTCTGCGTCAGTTCGCCGTTCCGCTCACCTGACTGAGCATCAGGTTCCCGGCCTGCCGCTCCAGGTCGAAGATCGGGTAGTCCCACAGATGGATGCTGGCCAGCAGCGGGTCCGTCTGCAGGAAGTCCGTGTTGTAGCGCGAGCCGTCAGCCAACAGGATCGTCTTGTCGTCCGTGGGCTGCCCGAGGGGTGTGTCATCGTCAGCAGGTGCCATTGCGCGCACAGGACTAATTAAACAGGATGTGGTGCGACTGCGACTGTTTTGGAGATGGAATATGCGTCTCAGCTCATTGTGGTCTCTAGACCAGAAGCTGGGACTTCCTTTAGGATTCCATTTATAATTAGGCGTGCGAGGGTATGCGAGGCATTGGGGATGCCTCAGAAACATTATAAATTTTGGCACGCTGCTCTAATGATAATCCGCTTTCGCTTGGGATAACTCAATATAAATGTACGACACCCACAGGTCCCATAAGCAGACGCTGGCCCGTGACCTCCTTGTGAAACTGCATATGAATAATGTAGTCATGCATTAAACCTGAAAGGTAGTGTCTCAGAATACTATGGCGTTAGGGTTCTCTGCTTTGATGTTCAAAGGTTGGCTTCCATCAGATATTTCTGCGTAGTAAAGGCTCGCGGTATAACCCAATCGGGAGGTGCGAAAATGTAAGTTTATAAAGGTAAGCAAAAAAAGAACGTTAAAAAGTGACATGAGAAGATAGCTCAATAAAATACTGCTTCTTTATCAGAAATATCGGAGAGGAATTAAAACACAGCATTTATCCAGAAAGCGAGCTGCTCTTTACATTGCCATACTTGTAAGCAAGCTTAGGCAAAAGTTGCCCCCCGTAGGTACTTTGCATTGTTGCATTCATCCACTTCTTACCATCATCTAGAGCTGTCAAGTAGTGCACTACATTTAAATATAATTCTACTTTCCCAAAATCTTACAATAAAACAGCTCTTACAGTTTACAGTCTCACAGTGTAGAGTATACAGTATACACTCTACATTGAGTTATTTCTCAGTCCCACCACCCTCCCCTTTGCCCTGGGACTCACCTCCTCGTGTGTGCTCTTGTCGGTCTCGTGTTCGTCCTCCTCTCGCGTCACCTCCTGGATGAGGTCGAACTCTGCGCCGACCACATCACAGCAGCGCGTCGGACTGAGCGGTATCCGACAGTCCCGGGCCGCCACTCGGCAGTGCCAGCCGCCGTGCGGACCCCGGCGGCCGTCGCCCGCGCCGTGCCGCATCGTGCACTCGAGGTTGGCACTGTGTCGCCGCGGCCCACTGCTGTGGTTGCACACGCGCAGGTACGGCTCACTGGGCCTCCTGCGCTGGTGCGCCAGACACAGGGCACACTGGTGACGCGGCTCGGCGTGGCAGAGCGCACATCGAGGCGGTGACGGTCGCTGCGCGCCCCGCTGCCGACATCGGTCACAGAGCTGGTCGGCCTCGCCGGTACTTCCGCCAGCAGTAGGCTCCTCTTGTAGGACGCTCAGTTTCCGCGGCGAGAAGCCCAGCTTGCCTGTTACGACCGGCGTGGTGGGCGGCGCCGGCGCTAAGGTGGCCGGCGGAGGGGGCGGCGGCGGCGGAGGGGGAGGCGTCGTCGAGGGCGGCGGCGGCGTCGTGGAGGGCCCGGTCGGCGCCGCCTTCCTGCTCGGACTCGGACTCCGCGAAACAGCCACTCGCGCCGTGAGCGAGGAGCGCTCGTCGAGCTCGGGAATGGCGTCGTCGTCGCTGAGGCGGCGCGGCTCGTCGTCGGCGGCGGGCGACATGGGCAGCCGGCGCACCTCCCGCAGCCGGTGCCGCAGGCTGAACGGCTGCAGGGAGCTGACCGACAAACTGCGCGGCTTGCCCAGCCCCGTGGGGCCGGTCGGTGGCGTCTCGTGACCCAGACTGACCAGGTTGGCCGAGCTCTGTGACGGCGATGTGGCCGGGGAGATCTCTGTCAAAGGCACACGGTGCGCGTGAGGAGTTGGCCATCCTGTCACATTCACAAGAACATTTTCTAAACCTGCAGGCAATTGTTTCATTGTTGTGCTTGCTTTTTAGGGACCACCGTGCGTTCAGGTATGCGGAATACTAGGATAAATTAAACACATGCATAGATGCTTCACATTCGACATTTATTCGGTTCTCACTTCTCCTCATTGCATATCGTACAAAGCCACCAGGAAATTGTCACGTGTTAACATTTAAGCTTAGCAAGATCAGCTATTTGATAACTGTGCTCAATACCATCGTTGGTTCCTAAATCGCTCTAAGGAAGCAAAGCTGCTAGTAATCTGACAGCGCTGCAACTGACGAATATATGCTTGTCTGGTGAATAAACGAAAGCCGGATTCGCAGCCTAACGTCGCCACGGGGGGCGCTCAGGAGGGGCGGACGGCGACTTAGAGACGCCGCAAGGCTATGGGGGTGGCACGATCGGCTCAAGCCGGTTATGGCCTGCTGGCATGTAATGCCAGCGGATATGGGGGTTTGTTCCCATGGTTTAATGTCCCACGCGAGAGACAAGTGACGCGGCGACGGGGCTCACGGAGGGCTGCAATTTCGCTGGACCGTCGTCCAGCCAGCGCCCAACGGCCGATGGCTATTCCACGGATGAGCGCATCGCGAACACACACACATATGACGGCGACTCGGAAAGAAGTGGGCTATCAGGCGCTCATTCAGCACAATTTGTGATGATTGCAGCCTGTTTATTAGCTCGTTTATTGAGGGATTGACTGCTAAAACTCGCCGCATGAGGAACATCAAATAAAACTGATGAGTTATGGCACAATGCATTTGTAGCATTGACCTTACAAAGGCTGGTGAGTCATCAGCATCAATATTTTCATGTCATGGTGTGTACGAAAATGAGAGGCCTTTAAAAGTCGTCAATAATACGTACAGCACCAACTTCGTACACACAGCTATCAATTTCCCAATCCAGCTTCGATAAGAATAATTTTTTTATGGTAATTTATTATGTTGAATATAAGGAACCAACTTCAAAACATCTTTTTTCAATCGGCTTGTATGGTCCTTGACCAAACTTCTGTTTATCCCATTTTCTGTTACATTTCCCGGATCTCAGTTGTAGACAAGAAAGCTAATGTACAGAATAGATAGTGTTTCTCAAGAGACGCCGTTTCGTTGTTTTCTCCGGAAAATCGATGCCTGCAGCAGCCTGTTGGGCCGGTGGCGATGGTTGCAAGTAGCTCGCATCAAACAACTGGGGGCTGATTCAGTCTGAAAACCCATGGCCTGGTGTTCGGACTCTGTATACCAGTTCCGTCTGGTCGGGTCACCGGGGTCCGCACAGAGCCGCGCCACTTGCCAACGGTCTCAGGAGGCGCTGCTGAGGCATGCGCTGCAATCCTATTCGAATCAGTTAAGTGGAAAATAGGATCGGTGCTCTGAAGACGCCCAATTCAATCGATGGGCTCGTTCGAATGGAGCCGAGCTCTGAGCTCTGTGAGCATCGGCGGCCATCACGCGCCCTAACACACAACGGTGACGATCCGAGCCGACAGCTCGTCTTTGTGCTCTGCAGCGGAAACTGTCTAGACACCCTGGCAGGGTGGGCATTACATTATATTTTAGCTTGTCGAACTGAGACGGAAAAAGACGCACGAGTTCATGTTTTTTTTTCTAATTCAACAGTTCTGGCTGAGGCTCTTACCTTATACCTACCATACTCCGAAATTTGCTAATTGAAGAACGACAATTTGATTTCAGTCTCCAAGCCATTTGAAGCGTGAGTGATAACAGGCTCGTAAGAAATCTAATGATCAAGACAAATGTTAAAAGCTCCATCAAACAACCATTAGAGAGCTCAGGGGAACGTCTTTGTGTAAACGTGCCCTTGGCAGTTACGATTGATGCAAGATTTATTGGATTGAGACTGCACAAGAATCGCAATGAGGGAACGAGCTGCCATTTTCAGCTAACAGTTTTCTGGGCGAGTCTCGACTGCTCCGCCACTTCCATTCTCCTGAAAACAGCCTGCATATTTGATACTCTGGTCGCATACTAAAGTGAAGCCAAACGCGGGCGGCGTTGGATATGATAGGGTTGGCTGATCCGTTATTTGCTTGTGTATGAGCCTGCAGAAACAGTCTGATGTAAGTTTATTGTGGTTGGGTTCTATATATTTGTGAAACTGTACCTACTGTATACATACGCTACCTACTGTGCAGAATGATGGCGGTGCAAATTTGTGTTCGTATACACAACAATATTTCCTGTCGAATATGCTGACACAATGTTTGGGCAATGGGACATTCCTACGCTACTATTCAATCAACCTCTTCAAACTATAATATATGTGAAAACAAAATCGCAAACTTTTCAGGAGTCCGTATCCCCATGGTTAAGTGCTAAGGCACGATGGCACGATGGTATCTTAAAGTTATTTATTTCAGTGGTGTTTTGAATAATGGCCAAACTATGCCAGCCACGAACCCTTGGGGTCAATCAACAAAAGATTAAGAGTTGATGTTCCATTTTGTTACAACAGAATATGGTCGATTAGCCTATCCAACCAATACATTCAGACTGAATTTAATTATATCATCCCCATCGAACGTCAAATTCCAAGGATTACGACAGCCTCACTCCATCTCACAATCACTCCACGGCGCTGCGTCAGCCGCCACGAGATCTCCGTGATACCACTTGGCACGCCGCTGTGTGACGTGGTCTCACGTGGTGCGTGACGTCACCCCCGTGACAGATGCCCTCTCAGCTGTCGTGCGCGCCAAATGACGTCAGCTGACGCTCGGTTGATGACGTCAGTGGTCTGTGACGTGTGACGTTGTGCGACCTACCGACGGTATTTCGGAAGCTGGTGGCCCGCCGCCGGTTGGGAGGCTCCGGCTCGATGGTGGGCATCCCCGTGGCGGAGGTGGTGGTTGACCACATGGAGCACGACATGCGCCGCAGCATGGACGGGTGCACGGACCGCTTCTGTGGACGGGACGGAGACGGGGTCAATGTGGCGAGCACAGCGCACGTCAGACGGGAAGGCCAGAGAGGGTAGTTAGACATCAGACAGATGTTAGAGGACAGTCAGACAGAGAGGGGACATCAGACTCGGATACAGACTTAGACTCGGACTTAAACTCAGACTAGCCAGATACTCATTGGGTAAAGAGGATAACACCGACACTGGCAAACTGAATGCATGATATGGTGGAGCAAGCACGTTGCCGTCTAATGATTGATATTTGATGACTAGTGGTTCAGAAAGGAAAAATGAGAATGTTACATCAAAAATTAGGTGCTGCTCATTTTCTCTCGTTCATGGCGCTGACGGAACCATAATTCACAGGCCCTTCTGTATGTAGTTTTGCTGTTAAGACAGCTTCAAGGAGTTTTGGCGAAACTTTGAAATGGCGTAGCCACTGAATGGCAAATGTCAGAGCTTTCATAGCCAGCACGTACCTGATACCACTCGTTTCAAGATAGTAGTATGCTAAGTGTATCGGAATTCTCTGAATTTCATCCCGACTCTTGGACAGTAGGAGCTCCAAATTTAGACGATTTTAGCCATCCGGGGCAGTGAGGCAACAAACTTTCACAGTGCTGGAGCATGCATACCAGCCAAGTTCGCACATACGCCCGCCTGACCGAGCCGCAGCTCCGGAAGCTATCTGATCGGCCGGCCTGTCCCAGCAGTTCCCCGCAGACGGTCAGAGCTCGATCCAATGGGCGGGTCGGCAGGAGCGCCAGTGGACTCATTGCCGGGCCACCTCCAGTGCCGTCCGGTGGGCGGTAAAGATTGCAAACTTTACTTAATCTACATCCCAGCCGACCAGGGACTTGTCCAAGACACAAATTTGGATTTAGCTCTCTCTTGCGACACGGCCAATCACGGCCTATTCCGGGCGCCGTCTGTAACGGCGGCCGGTGCGGAAATATTCCGGGAGGCATGTCGGCCGGCTGTCTGGGCCACACCGGACCGGCGTCCATCTCTTCACCCGCCGCATCGATCGCAGCACGGCCACTTGACCTTTTGACACGTCGGCCAGCGCTCGGCGGCCGTGTGGGGCTCACTGAATTGGACACCGGCGCCGCGCCGCCGACGGCGACGGCCAATATCGACGGCGCCGTCATCGACAGCGCTCGTCCGCGCCTGCTCTCACCCTCCCTCTCTCTCTCTCTCTCTCTCTCTCTCTCTCTCTCTCTCTCTCTCTCTCTCTCTCTCTCTCTCTCTCTCTCTCTCTCTCATCTCCCCCTCTCTGTCTCTGTCTGTCTGTCTGTCTGTCTGTCTGTCTGTCTGTCTCTCTCTCTCTCTCTCTCTCTCTCTCTCTCTCTCTCTCTCTCTCTCTCTCTCTCTCTCTCTCTCTCTCTCTCTCTCTCTCTCTCCCTCCCCCCTCACATCTCCCTTGGTTCGATCCGCGTTCTCCCCACGTCAGCTCGGTATACTTATTCGCTCTTCGTCTCTCACGAATCCTTTATCGGTTCCTTTTTCGGTTGGAACTTCGTTCGGTCTCTCATGTCAGTTGGATCCTCGCTGTATCAACCTGGTAATCAGTATTCTCTGAGGTTGGAGTCTTGTCTCGGTGTCCCCTTATACGATTCAACCCTTGTGGTCTGCTGCCTGCATGACTCCTCGCCCATTCCAGCTTCTGTGGAATTCTTACGCTCGCTCCACTTTGCTGGATTTTTGATCAATGTGGTGCCGATGTTACGGATCGGCACCATCATATCAGATTCCAGGACCGAATATGAACTCATCTGTTCAGATGCAATCAAAGTCCACACATTTAAACACCGATCATCACACGTCATCATTGGCTGACGAAATGGATTTACAAGTTATAAACTGTTACAATACAAGTTACAAGCCGAATCATTGTCTAGCATACGTCAGCAAGATGATACAAACAACTGGCGCCAGATTGGACCGTGTTTTTCGATTGCTCGGCCCGTCTGGACGAGCTGTTTGGACTCCCACCCGACCTGTCGAACACATCGCTCTCAACAGTTATCATCATCAAAGCTGTTTTGAAGGCGCGCCGCGCCACTAATTGGGCCTCAGTGCGGCCCGGCTACGAAAATAGTCAATCAAATGCGGCGTCCGCCGCGGTGCCAAGTGTGCGTCGACACCGTCGACCGACGCTGGCACGCGGCCGGGAGTGCGTGCTCGGCCGGGGGCGATCGTCGGCCCGCCCCGGCCGGCTATCGGGGCGGGCACCGAGCCAGCGGGGCTGTGGCCACCGACCGGTCACCGCGCCTCCCCGCGCCGGTCTCCCTGCGTCCCGGCCACACCGACCGGTCACTGTGTGTGTCCCCTGCTACCGACCGGTCACCTCACAGCATCCCCCGCTACACCAACCGGTCACCGTGCGTCCCCAGCCACCGTCCGGTCACCGTGCTTCGTCCCCAGCCACCGAGACCGGAACGAGCACCGAGGGCGGGGTGGTATCTGCGTGGGTGCTCATCATTACTTAATGAGATGCCATTGCCAAGCGTGATGTCAGTGTTCTAACCGGAGTGCGGAGGATTTCACCAGAAATGAATTGTTTAACTAATGGATTTGAGTGATAAATTAAGGAAGAAAATGGTATTGAGCGAGACCTGGCTGACGGAAGCTATGGATAATTGCACACTAGTGTTCCCAGAGTACACGGTCACGCGGAAGGACAGACGGGGACGCAGTGGAGGTGGCGTGGCCATTCTCCACCGCAGTAGCCTGTCCACGGAGCTGCTGACCGTGCCGTCCGCCGGCTCAGCCCTGGAGACCGTATGGATTCGGCTGACCGGCCGACGTCAGATCATCTTTGGCGCCATCTATCGGCCGCCGTCGGGACCTGTGGCTCCAGTCATCGAAGACCTGCACGATCAGCTGGCTTATGTCGTCTCCAAGGAGAAGCCGGTCTATATCCTAGGCGACACGAACTTCGATGTCAACCAACCAGCCAAGACGGGGGTCAGAGAGTATGGCCAGCTGCTCCATGACTTCTCATTACATCAGCTGATTACGACACCCACCCGGCCTGGACCTAACCCTAGTCTGATCGACCACATGATCACCAACAGGCCCGACCTCGTCTCCGATCCGCGTGTCTTGGTGTCCAACATCAGTGACCACGACCTGATCGCCGCGTCAGTCGCTGGCGTGAAGAGCCGACATCAGCCGAGGACCGTCACCATCAGGTCGACCCGCCACCTGAGCCAGGACGCACTGTGTCTGGACCTGCTGCAGGCCGACTGGACCCCCGTTTACCAGGCGGAGACGGTGGCAGCCAAGTGGGACGCCTGGAGGTCAGCCTGGACGCCGCTGATTGATCGACACATGCCCGTCCGGCAGATCCTGACTCGCCACCAACCGCAGCCGTGGCTTCACGATGAGGACGTTGCAGCTGCGATGGAGGCGAGAGACGCGGCACGCCTGGACAAGGAGAGGACGCCGTGTGAGGAGACAGAGCGCGAGTTTCGGATCAAACGCAACGCAGTGAAGGCTTCTCAGCGCCGCGCCTGCTCTCAGTATTTTCTCTCCTCATACAGACAATCCAGGTCCACCACCTGGAAGGATATTCGACGATTCCTCGTCTCCTCCAGCAAGCCCCAGCCGAATTCTCACAGCCCAGCAGACCATCAGCCCGGCTGGCTGGACCGGCTGAACCGGTACTTTGCGGACGTGGGCTCGACAGTCGCAGAGGAGCTGGCAGCTGCGGACACCGGAGAGATGCTCAGGCCACGCCCGCCACGAGTCATCAGCGGCGCCTTCAGCCCCCGGCCGGCGACTCTCCCGGAGCTGTCCGCGGCACTCCAGCGCATGAGCCCGTCCAAAGCTTGCGGAGATGACGGCATCACCATCGCCATGCTTCGGATGACTTTTCCCGTGATCGGCCCGCACATCCTTCACGTCATCAACAGCAGCATCACCCGGGCCGAGTTGCCACCGTCATGGAGAGCTGCTTCCGTTGTCCCCATACACAAGAGTGGCGATAAGGACAATCCCAGCAACTACAGACCTATATCAGTGTTGTCTGTGGTCGCTAAACTCTGTGAACGCGTCGTGTGCACCCAGCTGATGGACTATCTAACCGGCCATCATATCCTCTGTGCGCAGCAGTACGGGTTCCGCCCCGGCCAATCCACGGAGGCGGCCCTGCTCGATGCTGTCGGTCACATCACCGATAACATCGACGGAGGGCGCGTGACATCACTCGTCACCGCTGACACCTCCAAGGCGTTTGACAGCGTCGAGCATGGTCGCCTCTTGGAGAAGCTGGGGTGGTACGGTATCGATGACCGGTGGTTCCGTGCATGGCTTTCCGACCGCACGCAGTCAGTTAGAGGTGGATCGGGTGCTGAGCTGCCGGTGACGCATGGGGTGGTGCAGGGCAGCATAATGGGCCCAGTGTTGTTCCTGGTGTTCTCCAATGATTTGTCACAACACGTGCCGCATGGGAGGCTTGTTATGTACGCTGACGATGCCCAGTTTATAGATTCGGACTCGCCAAGAAACCTGTCAGAGCTTAAATGCCGCGTAGAACAAACCCTGTCTGTAGCTCTCTGCTGGTTCACGCAAAATAGGCTAAAGATAAACCCTTCGAAGACCGAACTGCTTATCTTGAGATCCTCACGCCAAAATGATAATGTCAACTTCACCGTCAAATTCGGCGAGTCGGAAGTCGTGCCTGTGCAGTCGGCGAGGGTCCTAGGCGTCAACATCGACTCGTGCCTGACGTGGGAGCAGCATGTGGCTGCGATCACTCGCCGATGTTACTGCGTTCTGATAGGGCTGGCCAGAATGCAGCGTCGTGTGCCGCGTGAGACAAAGCAGCTGTTGGTCGAGGCACTGGTATTCCCTCATCTGCAGTACTGCATGTGCGTGTGGGGAAGCTGCACAAAGACCCAAAAGCACAGACTTCAGAGATGCATGAATTTTGGCGCCCGCATTGTCACTGGTCTTGGCTATCGTGAACACATTTCCGGGACACTGCGAGAGCTTGGATGGCGGGTGATCGAGGACATGATAACTGAGCGTGACCTGTGCGTCATGTACAACCTGAACCATGTCGAGAGCGCCCCTGAGCTTCTCCGCTCACGCATCACCCACCGCTCTGATGTGTCTGTGCGTGAAACGAGAGCGACACGTGACGGCGAGCTGGAGGTGCCGCGGGCCCGCACAGAGTTTGCCCGTCGGTCGTTCTTCAATCGGGCGGTGAGAGCGTGGAATAGGCTACCGCTGAGTGCGAGAAACGCGTCTTCTCTTCCTGTCTTTAAAAAGTGTATCGCAGATGCCTTTTAAAGGGTGATGCAAATGTGGATTGATAGGAAAATGCTTTTACTTGTGCTACATGACGTGGAACGCTGAAAACCCATTTTATGGATGTATTCCTAAATATATGATATGATATGATATGAGATACTCATGGAGCCAAGTGATTGTTGTATGAAAATAATGGTGCTGTGACATAAATCCGCAGGGTGCTACGCCTCTGTTGACAATATTTTGACAAGATTTTGCAGCAGGTTCTTTGCTGTTGACTTGGGGTAGGCCCAGAATGAGCTTTTTTCTTTTCTGTGCAGAGAACTAGTTCCAAGCGATTTGGAAGTCTCACGGCCAACTGCAGCCCACAAAGATCCCGGATCCGCCGCCGTTGCTCCCAGGATGCAGCACTGAATTCTCTGACGGCCGATAAGAGGCCGTTTCCAGATGCCATGGGTCCCAAAACGACGCAGGTAAGTACCGCGCTATTGTCCCATACAGCCATTAAAGAACCTCAAGAGCGGCACTCCTTTGTGGTAACACCTCAGCTCTAACGGTTATTGGAAGGAGGCTGACGGCGAGGCGATTAAGCAGCCGACACTTAAACGTCGTCGTCGTCGTCGCTGGCTGCCGTGTCGTCAGGCGCGGCGGAGTTCCGGGCTGGGGTCGGCTCTGTGATCCCCCGTCCCGCAGCCGGAACACCCTCCCTCACCTCCCCTCGCCGACCCGTCGACCCGTCGAGCCGTCGAGCCGCCCACTTACCCTCGCCTGCAGATTGCCGGCCGTCTCGCCCGTGAAGGGGATCTCATCGGTGCTCGAGCTGAGCGCATCGTCGAGCCGCAGGAGGGCGGGCAGCGGCGGCTGCTGTCGGCCCGCCGGGTGGCTGGGCGGCTCCAGCAGCTGCGCCAACGTGTGCAGGCCGGAGAGGATGTGCGGCGGCAGCGCCGCGGCAGAGCTGTCCACCAGCAGGTCGGTGACGATGCCGTGCGACTCGGCGATGATGGCCGCGCTCGTGCTGGCGTTAACGGCCTGCGAACACCGGGAATGGTGTCAGAAGTGGAATCAAACGGCAGAGGGCCGGCGCTGAGAGCTCTCTCCTTGCGGCGTTACCTTGAGCTCGAGTCGGGAAGTGCCTCCTTTGAAGAACGCTTCTATTACGTTGGTTTATTTTAGCCATAGGAGGTGAAAAGAATACCCAGTATTTAATTGAAATGCAGAAAAGCTGTAGAGCAAACCAAGACTAAAATTCTGAAAACGTTTCAGTGTTTTCAAATGCCATGATGCCACAGTATTTGTAACAATGCGGCTGGAATATATTTGGGATAATCGCTGGGATATTTTTCGCCCGTCACCCCTAGGCGTTAGCAAAGCTGGCGCTGCATTTCTGAACCATCTTTGAAGAGGGTAGTAAAGGACAAAGCATATGTATTTGTTTTGGTGGTACAATCAACTATCAGCAATTTATTCATTAATTAGGATGATGACATCCGAAAGAAGATTCATTACTCATCAGCGAGCAATAAAAGAAGGAGTTATGTCCGTCTGTTGTGAATTCACTAATAAATCACATATTCTTTGAAGTGGCCACATAGTGAGTGCATTGCGAACAATATGAAAGCACGGTTATTATTTAATGCAAATTACCTGTGCTGATGTCCTACTGTAGATATGAAAAATAAACTCATTCATACAACCACAGTCTACAACGAGAATGGAGCTGTGGGACGTCTACCAAGCACTGGACGGAGGACCTGCCATCTCTGTCTGTATCTTCTTCATCCATCGCCACCAACAGGGTTATTTGTTATGGTTCTGGGGCCCGCCGACGACCGGGGATGATTGGCATTCCAAATTCCAGCCAACTTAAATGTTTTCGTGGGGGTAATGTTTCTTTGAACTTCAACAGTTTTCACGCAGCTGACGCAAAAGCGTTCAAACGACCCGGGAGTCAACACAATTTACGACTGGTGTATTTTTAAACAGGCCTGTTAAAAGTACGATCAACAGGCTTATTTCTGGTGTTGCTTCACACGCGTGAGCGCGTGCTGCCGATTGGTCGTATTGATCACGAGCCAAAAAAGCTCAGCTCTCGGCAACACAGACCACCTTATTACATACACCCTTGCGCTTTTGATTGGCGGGTATGCCGTGCTACGTCCAATCGTCTCCATCAGAAATGCTCAAATAAGTAGGTCGCTTCTCACACATAGACGGAGCTACGTCACAGAGGTGAGTTATCGACGAAAACAAGGTGTGTATGCCTGCGAAAATACCTAGTTTCTTTACTTTAACCCTCGCATGTGTAGGGGGTCGGATGGACCCCCCCATTGTTTTTCGCGAATAACTCGCGTAAAAAGCGGCTGATCGCAACGAAACTTTCAGTACCCTCGCATTGATCAATTTTACACCTTCCCTGAAAATTTCATGACCCTGACCCAAATGACCTTTGACCTGTGACCTCTTTTCCGAGACCATGTTTGGCCGGAATCGCGATTCCGCGTATGTCGGCTCGCATTAGCCGCGCGTTTGCAAGCTTTTCGTGGTTTCAAACGTTCAAACATGTGATTTGATGTTGCTCCCATGCATTAGGGTGTGTGTCAAGGTCACCTGAAGGTCAGGTCAGGTCATTGACCTTTGGTGACCTCGGGTGACCTCGGTTCACTTTTTCGAGTTTTACATGTTTCTAGGCTAGTTTTTGGAGCTGAATTCGAATTTAGCAACCATTTGAACATTTACGAAGTAGTTTTGGTGCCTTCGTAACATGTTACGAAGCTGTCAGAGGCGGTTGACACGTACTACGAATACCCGTCACGACGCCTACTGGTTGACCTGACCTGACCTGACCCGACCTGGTCTAAATGCTTAAAGAAATCATCTCTGATCAAAACTAACACGATATTCGTGATCAGCACCCCGAAAAACCCCTTAGCAGCCACACTTTACGACTTTCTAATAGGTCCCGATTTTCCCGACTTTGGATCATTGACCTGACCTGGAAGGTCAACCAATGACCTAGGACCTTAAAATTGGGTATCATCGGCTTCCTCTCGTCACGGGCAACACGATCGTTTTTTCCGCGAAGCTCTAGCTCGATCAGGGGCCAAACGGCAAGGGGGGGGGGGTCCAACCAACCCCCCCCTACACATTGGAAGCTGGCAAACGCCGCACACATGTGACGGTTAATTATATCACCTTTATTTCTTTTTATTTTCCTTATATTTTCATTATTATTTAAAACACTTACGAGTTACGAGAACATGTTCATTTTTTTGTCAATAGGAACGATGTTGCTTCAACCAAATGCTTAATGCCATCATCTTCAAAATGATCTCAGTACGCGCCACTCGGTATTATCTCACCCATGGTTAAGCAATAAGCACTGATCCATGTATGACATGCGATGATAAGGATGCTCATCCATTATTCTTGGTGTTTAATATTCGAAATTTTCAGTCTCATAACGTGCTCAGCGTCGTAAAATAGCGCCACAGAAAAGGTCACTTCAGATGTTGCACTTGGTTATGCGGTGGCCCTGTTTTACCATTAACGCATCAGAACTGAAAGCAGCAACACACAGCGGGGCCGCCACCGTGACAGCAAAACAAACGGCTGTATCGCCCTTCGAGCGCACCCTTCTGAACAGGTCAGAACTGCGGCAAAGGCGACGAAAGCTGATCGGTGACACCTCTCAGTGGCAACGTGACCGCCAGGGCACGGGTCAGGTCAATGGATGCCAGCATCGAGGGTATTCGTAGCTATAGGTTGTTAGATTTGATTTTAAGAATATCATTAGTTTGATTAGGTACATATACATTGTTGTATTCCCATGTCGCATTTTAAATCAGCCGTCATTCAACAAATTTATTTGTTTAGAAATATAACTACCTATTCATATAAATTCAGATGACGGTGATTCATAATTACAAGTTATAAGACGCAATGGAAAATAAAAATAGGTCCGACACTGACGTTTTCCAGAAGCCTTAACGCTGCATTCTTTTACATTCTTTTAGTTCTTGCTCCCGCTCAAAAATTTAATGAAAAAGAAAACTGAAATAAGGAAAAGAATTCAACTTGAAACACCGAGTGGAAATTTATTGTGCCGAGGGACCGTGTCTGAACTTCAAAATGTCAATTGTATAATAATACGCTTTGTCGCTAGCCGCGACTCAACGGGTCGAACTCCATTGTTGTGCATATCTGACTGGCTATCCTTTTCACACTGCTAAATCACAAAGATCGATGCTCAATCCGCGGTGCCTTTGTCACACTCTATGCCATTTTTCCGAGCTCCCTGACACATGAGCCGGAGTTATTCCCAACGCACGGCGCGCTCCCCGCACGCGACGCAGCTTTCTGACGGGCTTCCCGATATTGATTTCCAGGGCGCTGCGCATCCACCGCAGCTCTGTGTTACGCCCTCCCCAGTCTCCACGGCAGCACGGTGTTACACCCTCCCTACTCCCCGCCGCAGCACGGTGTTACACCCTCCCCACGGCAGCTCTGTGTTACACCCTCCCCACGGCAGCTCGGTGTTACACCCTCCCCACCACGGCGGCACGGTGTTATACCCTCCCCAGTCCCCGCCGCAGCTCGGTGTTACACCCTCCCCACGGCGGCACGGTGTTACACCCTCCCTACTCCCCACCGCAGCTCGGTGTTACACCCTCCCCAGTCCGCACCGCAGCACGGTGTTACACACTCCCTACTCCCCACCGCAGCTCGGTGTTACACCCTCCTCAGTCCCCACGGCAGCACGGTGTTACACACTTCCTACTCCCCACCGCAGCACGGTGTTATACCCTCCCTTCTCCCCACGGCAGCACGGTGTTACACCCTCCCCACGGCGGCACGGTGTTACACACTCCCCACGGCAGCACGGTGCTACACACTCCCTACTCCCCACCGCAGCTCGGTGTTACACACTCCCTACTCCCCACCGCAGCTCGGTGTTACACCCTCCCCAGTCCGCACCGCAGCACGGTGTTACACACTCCCTACTCCCCACCGCAGCTCGGTGTTACACCCTCCTCAGTCCCCACGGCAGCACGGTGTTACACACTTCCTAATCCCCACCGCAGCACGGTGTTATACCCTCCCTACTCCCCACGGCAGCACGGTGTTACACCCTTCCCACGGCGGCACGGTGTTACACACTCCCCACGGCAGCACGGTGCTACACACTCCCTACTCCCCACCGCAGCTCGGTGTTACACACTCCCTACTCCCCACCGCAGCTCTGTGTTACACCCTCCCCAGTCCCCAGCGGAGCACAGTGCTACACACTCCCGTAGGTAGATATGTGCATTCTCCATAGTTCCGTACATATTTCTACTATTCCCGCAGTTGAGGCCTACCTTGCACCATTCTAAATCTAATGTCAGATAGGATGACAGGATGGTGCTGATCAAGTGCTTCACGGCAGCCACACTTCTCAACACAAAACAGTAGTAGCTTCTGGCTGAATCCTGATTGGCTTCATCGTAAGAGATATCTGTCATTTCGAGTGAAGAGATGAGGCTAATCGGATACTCCGGCAATTGTAAATCGCCTTACAATGCCGTGGAGTACGAGCTAATATGCATGAAGTGGCATTATCTGGCATTAGCTCTAACGAGGAATTGATCTCCACGTAATCAAGTGTCGATGCTCAGAGCATAAGTGCTCACGATGTTGAGCCGTAATGTAGAGGGAAATAAATGAGGACCTTGGGGTAGATAAGGCTGCACTGAATGGACATATTTTTGTCTTCTTGTGGAACTAGATATTCTGCTTACAATAATATAATGAACTCAAAACGAATAAGACATGATGGCATGCCCCACACACCTGTGACCTGTCGCCTTTGATGTATACCTTATCAGCAGGTTTTACACAGCCTCCGCCGCCACCAAATCAGCCTACCACCCGTTCTCAATCTCCATCAGTTTCACGGCGGCCGCGCGACTCTGCGCCGGCGGAAAGAGGCTCGCCGCCGATCCTGTTTACAACATCCCGGCGAGCGCGGTCCTCGGGGACGGGGCGGCCGC